ATTGTACACTATAATTTCGACATGATAGTGTGTTCATTCCTTGGTTTTACGACACCACAATTATCACATATCTAAACCGCATCAATATAGAGCTCTACTCATCTTATTCCGATGTTAATTATGTGTTCAGAGTACTTTTCTTGTGATCCATAATAATTGTTGACTAGATTCTTAATTTATTTAAATTTTAAAAATCGAGTTGATTTACAACTTTTCACTCGAGTTGCAAGTCCAATCATTGTCTAATCATGGATAAGTCTAAATATTTGTTAAATCATAAGTGATCTTCTCATTTGAAACTTTATAAGTTAGATTTTACTTTCCAACATGTGTGGATGATGAAAATTTTGTGGTGAATCACATGATAACAAAGATTACAATTATTCCCGTCATTTCTGGTTGTATAGTTAAAATAAAAAGTTGACGATCAACCTCATTTTTTTATTTTTTATTTTCAATTGTATCGTCTTTACAAATAGAGAACAACATTGTATGGGGACCAATTATTATAATACGAATAGATTTGGGACAAATTGTGAAATTTCCACTTATGCACACCCTTATCCCTCACATTTCACTCTCCCTCGTTAAACCCTCCATTTCCATTTGAGGGAAAAAGGCTTAAACCCTGTAGCCCTGTTCTCTCTCAGATAGCATGCCCATGAAAGTTTTCTCATTGGGCACTGGTTTGGTACCAGCAGGCCGTCTATCCACCTCATATACCGCCAAATATGGGGTGCCTATTACCCGGGTTGTGCCCCTTTTTTCCCGGATCTTCCCCCTGAAACTCAAGTACCGGTTCTTGGAGCCACCATTTACCCCCTCCTACGAAGAAAAGGGGGTACTGACAACTCAGATTGGGGTTCGTAAATTTTCCGTTCGTTCCGGAAGGGCACGATCTGATTCGGGTTCGGGCCACGAGGTGAGGGTCGCGAAGAGCTTAATTGAAGATGAGGCGGAACTCGATGACTGGGTCAGTGGGTTGAGTTCTAACTCGTTTAGGAAAAGTAAGGTGTACAGCGATATTGACGTGGAGGGGAATAATGGTGGTGATAATGGAGGATATGGGAGGAGAGAGAGGGGTGAGAAGAGGAGGAAAGAGAGCGAGTTTGATGGTGATGATTTTGATATTCCGAATGGGGGTAATAGTGTGGGCCGTGGTCTGGAGAAGCCAGTTTCTAGGGGAAGAGGGGGATATGGTGGTGGGTTGGCGGAGAACCGTAGTAGTTTTAATGGCGGTAGGTCATTTGATAGGCGAAGTGGGACCCGCAATTCAAGCGAGTACTCTAGGAAAGGGAAGTTTGGCAGTGAATTAGAGAGAAAGAATGAGAGGAACGGCGGTTTGACTGGCCAGGGAAAGGGTTGGGGTTCGGTTGAGAGGTTTCCGGGTCGAGAATTAGGGAAGGGGATTGACAGTAGAGTGAAAAGGAGAGGTGCTAGTGGGTCTGAAATGGGTCATGGGAAGGATAGAGGGGATGGCGTGAGAATGCAGAGAGAAGGGAAGAGAGTACCACAAAGAGGTTTGGTGGTTACAGATGAAGACGAGGAGGAAGAAGAGGTGGAGGGCTATAGGAGTTTTAAAGAGTTGATTGATAGTGATGAAGTTGACGATGAGGATGAAGACGAGAGCGAGGAGGAAGACAATATCGTTGATGACGTGTTTGAGAAGGAAAAAGTTTTGTCTCAATCACCCCCAAGCTCGTCAGG